ACATCAGAAGAAAACGAAAATAGGAAACAACCTCGGAACCCGCTACAGAGGGCCTCTGAAAGCCAGAAGAAAACAGGAAACAACCTTGAAACCTGCCACAGAGGGCCTCTGAAAGCTTCTGCAGTATAGACTGTCAAAGCAGATGCTGAGCCTGATGGCCAACTGATGGGCAGAGTGAATGGAATTTTATGTAAGAAGTGGGAAATAGTAAGAGCTGGAGGGAACGGGAACTCCACAAGCAGAGCAACAGAACAAGATAATTTGAACACAGGGAACTTCCCAGAGACTCATACTCCAACCAAGGACTATTTGTGGAGATGACCTGGAACCTCTGCACAGGTGTAGCCCATGGCAGTTCAGTGTCCAAGTGGGTTACATAGTAATGGGAAGAGGGACTGCCTCTGACATAATCTGATTGGCCTGCTCGTTGATCACCTCCCCCTGAGGGGGGAGCAGCCTTACCAGGCCACAGTAGAGGACAATGAAGCCACTTTTGATGAGAACTGATAGACTAAGATCAGAAAGAAGGAGAGGAGGACCTCCCCTATCAGTGGACTTGGGGAGTGGCATGCATGCAGAAAGGGGAGGGAGGGTGGGATCGGCAGGGGAGGAGGGGGGGCTTATGGGGGGATAAAAAAAAAAGGAACAGAGAAAGAAAAGTGAAGGTCTGACAGCAGCTTACCTGGTTTTCTGCCAGGTGTTGATGCTGATTATCTGTAAGGCCATGTTGTCGAACTGTCTTCTAAATATTTATATTTGTATCCATAAATTGGTACTGCTCTTAATCTAGTTCACAGACATGTTTTGTTGCAAAGGTTAATGCAGAGACACCTTACTGTTCGAAGGGCTGTGAGTGCCCAACCCATAGATAAAACATCTATACCAACATCTCCCACCAAGGTTCAGGAAAGGAATAGAAGAATCAGAAGATAGACAGGAACACTGTGAAATGATGTCCTCTGAATATAACATGGCTGATTCTGAATATGACAAACCTATTTCAACACAGCCATCTCATGCCTACTTAGATTTAATAGAATATCAATTATGTTAACTGATAACTTTTGTGGCATAGCTGCCAAAGGTCAATCATTAATAACTATTAATCTTCAAGTAAATCTGTTTACGATATGTTTACAAAAAACTACAAGCAAACATTACAATTCCATTTGAAGTTCTTTATACATTTTGTACTTATATTTATTTACCAGAATGTTTTCAGTAGTCTGGTATTAAATGGATATTTTTAATTATTTAATATTTAATGGGTCTTTTTAAATAATTTTATTTCATTTTTGTCATAATTACACACTTATCTCTATAATCCAGATGGAGAATAAGAAAAATACAGAGCTCAAAAATGTAGTGACAGCACAAAGACCATGAAATACTGGAAGCAGGTGGAATAGAGAACAGTCTCCTGCATTATTGTAGAAATGTTCTGGTGGTTACAATGCTCACAGGTCAAGTTGTCAGAGCTGTCCACAGTTGGAAATAGTTATCTCATTGGCCCTGCCATGCCTCCACCCAAATTCTCATGGCTTCCACACTCTAGTTGCCATCTCTAACTTTCCTAAAGACCATAGAGTTCCCAAGGTGCCTTGGTAGTACAGAAGAAATTCTGGGAATAACTTATGGCTCATCAAGCATTTGTGGACAGGTTCCAAAAACTATATACTTCAAGATAAAGTTCTCATGCTGAAATTTTCCCCCGCAGATGAATTTGCTCCCATTGATATTATAGCATGTGAAGTCACCACCCCGGCATGAGTTCTGGAATCATTCTGCAAAAGGCAGAACATGTCCATCAATTCCTGTCTCCAAATCTGGAAACTGTGAGACTTTGTAAACCCCTTAAAGGACACACAACCCATGGGCTTGTCACAAATGGCATTGTCAAAAAACTAAGAATTTAGAGACATTCTATGCTCCCAAAACACCTAACCACCAGTTAGTATGACCTCTGTGAGTGAAGATGCCTAATAAGCAGACAATAGGGAGAGAGGCCACAGAAACACAGTAAATATAACACTTTTTCCTTATCTTCCTAACCTTAGACAAACCCCTCAAGGACCCTTAAATCCCACAGCCTTTCCAGGAGAAGCAGGACTCCAGCTTCCTAAGTTTCCCCTCTCTTTCCAGAGGGCCTTTCTTTCTGTGTGATTGTGTGTGTGTGTGTGTGTCCACAGGTGCGTATGTGCGTGTGTATGTGTGATTCTTTATTCCTATAATATTCTTCCAACATGAAAAACAAAACAAAGTGAACATAATACGGCCAATTACTATTGGCAGCAAGCAGCTATAGGGAACTGTGGCACTTGTAAAGGCTTAAATATTTTATTTATTATTTATTTAATATTGTATTCATTATTTATTTATTTTATTCTCAAAATTTTAAACTCCTCCTGACAATCTCTGAGTCACTTTTTTTGGTTGAAAATAGGTTTTCTTTTTTTTGAGATGCAGTCCCCAATTCCCTTACTAGAGTACCCACTTGAAGCCTAAGCTGCCCATCTGCTACATCTTTGTATGTACGCATGCATGTGCTAGAGCCTAGATCCAGTTCATGCATGGTCATTGGTTGATGCTTCTGTCTCAGCAAACCCCTCTGGGTCCTAGTTAGTTGGCTCTGTTGTTTCTTTTGTAGAGCTCCTGTCACTTCCAGGTCTTTTTCTCTTTCCTCCTACTATTCCCCAAGACTCCCTACACATGGACCAATGTTTGGCTGTGATCTCAGCATCTGTTTTAAGGCACTGTTGGGTAGAACCTCTCAGAGGACAACTCTAACAGGCTCCAGGGTAGAGGTCATGTTCAGTCCTGATGCAACTTGATGAGATGGGGTGGATGGGAAAGGGAGCCTTCCTTTTCTGAGGAAAAATGAGGGTGGAGGTGGGGGAAGAGACTAGGACTCCAAGGATGTAAAGTGAATAAAATAAATAAAATAAATGAGGAAAAACACACACACACAAGAGAAATAAAACAGTTTTTCTCAAATAGCATATTCTGACCACAGTTTCTCCTCACTTGTTTCTCCCCAGATACTCCCTACTTCCCTATTTAACCTTCTTTATTAGGCTCTTCCTTTCTTTTTGAATAACTGAGTTCTTAAATAATGCCTTGTAGATTGAAAATAAGAGTCTCCACACAGCAGCAAAAATAGGGGAAATGAGGAGGATATCTTTCTTTTTAATAATAGAGGTTGTGATTCTTCATCACCTCTAGAGTGCTAAGTCTCTTCTCTTTAACTGGTCTCAAGCATCTCTCTGTTCCTTGTTCCACACATTGCATCCATTGCATCCTCATAGGCTACTGCCTTTCTCAGATGCCACTCTCAGAGGACGCCTGAAGGTCCCATCTCATCAACTTTTGTTCTGCAGTGCAATGGGGGCTTGACATATGAAGACTGGGGCCTTATGCTTGAGCTCTTCATAAATATATCCAGGATAGCACTAATATCATTAGATCAAATGTATTTAAACTTTGAGCATCCTGGATACATCTACATATTAGTATTGTTAAGTGATAAAAACAAGGTTAGAGCTTGTGAACTAATATGCAAAGGTGGGACAATGTCTGGGGAAGTACAAAAGGAAGTGATTTTGTAGTCACAAGGCTTCCTGGTTCAGCCTTATGAGTTCTTTAGGCAGGGGCACAGGAAAGAACAGGAAGCCGGGGAACTGGGAAGTGCCTTGTACTGTCATGTTCCCTAGTTGTGAAAACAGCAGCATGCTTGGGTGATGCTTCACCAACTACACAGAATAAAGAGGCTCTTGAACCAGACTCCTCATCCACAGACTGCTCTAAAAGTCTCCTCCATCCTTCACATCTGGTCAAATCCCTGCTGAGATGTCCTGCCAGCAGAACCAGAAGCAGTGCCAGCCTCTTCCCAAGTACCCCGAGAAGAGCACAGCACAGTGTCTGCCTGCAGCCTCCTCCTGCTGTGCTGCAAGCTCTGGGAGCTGCAGTGTCCCCAGCTCTGAGGGAGGCTGCTGCCTGAGCCACCACAGTCGCAGGTCCCACAGATGCAGGCGCAGGAGCTCCAGTTCCTGTGACTTTGGCAGTGGTCAGCAGTCTGGGGACTCAGGCTGTGGTCACAGCTCCGGGGACTGCTGCTGACCTGGAGTCTGAGGCTGAGATATGAGAGTCTGGAGGAAACAAAGAGTATTGAGAAGTAGCTTCATCTTGGCTCGTTCTTTCTCAGATATCCTAATTTTTCTTAGTCTAAGTGTTCTCTTAATCGATTTTCCAAAGCTTGTTTCTTTTTGTATTTTGGTAATTACATCACCCGTGTCTGTCCATGTACACAAATAATACTGTTTCTCAACATCAAAAAAAAAAAAAAAATAAGGGAAATGTAGTTGAATTCAACACCTCTAGAAGTATTTCTTCACTTCTTTGGTCTACAAACTCCCTTTCAAATGTATCTCCAAATAAATACAATATGTTTTATTTATGTATCATGGATACAGTCTTCTGATCAGACAGGTCCACCATTCTTACATTCAGAGTAGTATGAAACACAGAAAATTTATATAATGTCATTACCTATTTAATTTTAGAAGAACAACAGCTATGTCTAGAACATGAGAGCTAAAAATCCTAATTTTAGTGTGAGCAAGTGCATCTGAATTTGCAAAGTCACAGGATACCTAATAGAAGCAGAGATCATTGGCTACTATTATTGGATTTTAAAATAACCTCTAATTATATGGAGTGTTTGAACCTGTTATAAATTTTAACATTAGAACATTCTTTATAAAGGTAAGGAAGCTTTGATCATAACCTTTAATCCTCTGTCTCGTTCTACAGTGTGGGGTGTACTCTTCTAGACCTTTCTTGTGCTTTACATTTATATGTATTTGTCATTTTGAAAGTACATAGCTGCACCTTCTTTCCACAGTTTTTCAGATGGTACAAGGAATTAATTGAGCTCTGTGAAGAAGAATTACATGCAGTTTAAGGAATTATACATGAGTGTTCATGTAAGAACATAAGAAATAACAAGGCTATCAAAATGAATGAACTCCAAAACAACACAGGCTATTGTCACTGCCTTTGGTTATAGTCCATAGCTATATTGTAAGAGCATATTGTTGAAGACATCACATACTTTGGCTGGAGAACATAAGTGAATCAATTGAACTGACAAGGAAGCTCTCCTCATAGCAAATTTTACAATACCAGAAGTGTTATGTAGGCTCATGGAGATTAAAAAAAAA